AAACAGACTAACTGTGGATTAGGATTAAGCCATCGTTATATAAGAGAACGTAAATATTATCTTAGTAGCTAATTACTATCGTTAAGGTATCTACTTAAGCCCTTACTTAATATAGTTCTTCTAATACTATAAATTATATTCTAAAGATAACTATATTAATATTTTATTTATTAAAATTTAAATTAAAAAGGATTTACTTAGAAAGTTATAAAAGCTTTTTAGAAAAGGTTTTACTAATTAAAAAAATATTAGTTAGAATATAGCTTAATTATTAAATAGTTATATAATCTAATTATTAATTTCTCTTTAAAATATTAGTACTTCTATTATAGCCTAGTTTACTAATAAAATTAAGTACTTTAAGATCTACTTTAATAGGATTAGCAAAAATCTCTATCTATAATCTTAGAGCTCTCCCTCGGCATTTAAAGGGATAAGTACCAACGTCGCCTTATTCTAAAAGTATGAAAGAGCCAAAGGTACTTTGCACCTTTTGACATGTCTAACTGCCGTAGCGGAGCTTCCCCACTTGAACTTTTAATCAACACCTGCCTTGCGCCCCGACGACCCGGTGGCCGACTATGATTGTAGTAATAAATGGCGACCTGACAGTGCCCCTTCCGCAAACGGCAATTTGGTGGACCTCAATTACGGGGATAGGAACAGCTGCATGTTGAGATACGAGCTCACCGTTTCTTTTTTCGCCTCTTCTGCGGTGCTTAGCTGCTGGACACGACTAAACGGGACGTTCTTCGGAAGAAGTCCGAGATGATGACAAAGGGACGCACAACACTTATTTAGGGCCCGGTTCACGGTTGGTAACCCCAGATCTAAGAAAACTCCTGCATTTCTAACAGATTTTGGCCCTAGTTAGTGACACCACAACTTATATCCACATTTATATTCACGGGCGATGTTAATAAGTAGGATTAGATGAGCAGTAGCGGCTTTTGCGGCAATATATCCTCCCGGCCGGCTGTCGCTGCTGTCGGTGGCGCACGCTTTTCTGCACGAGAGCACTGTTCCTTAATGTGTAGATGCATAGTTGTGCCCCAAAACAGGCAATGATTGGCGCATCTCGACTAGTGATTGCCGTGGCTGGGGCAGGTCATGGCCAATGCCTAACTGCGGCATTTTCAGCAATCTGCATCTGACCCGACTGAGCCGGTTGGTTTTGGCTTGCATTGCTTTTCATTTGTTGGCGTTTTAGTAAATCATGTACAAAGAACATAGAGAGAATCCTTCAAGGCGCAACGGTCTGTTTCGACGTCTGTGTTCGTCACATTACGGCGTAGAAATTGCACGCTTTGTTATTGTAGTGCTACCTGACACATGATTCATTGGTTCCCCGTGGTCGGACGGCACTTATGCACTGACTAATGATCTGTATTGATGGAACTAGGATCAACGTGTCAGATGGTCGGCCGCATTATACTGTAATTAAAAGACCGCCCCAGCAACGATCGTTCCATCAAGCCCGTTACCAGCAATGGCAAATCTTGTCAGCGATGGCAAATCTTGTCGGCGATGTCGGTGGAGTATGTAAACCGATATCGTATGTACATCTCTAGTGGCTGTCTCCAGTACTTTCATGGCAGGCTTGCCAGCCTCCGAGCCATCTGTGATCTTGAGTAACTGAGCCAATCCTCTCCATCAACGCACCAATCCTTCTGTCGCCGTTTCCTGAGTTTCTGACCTCGAATTCCACCAAATATATGTACTGAAAAGGCAACACTCTACCTGGCCGGCTGTGAATTCCGATGATGCTGATATCCGAGTCTGCAAAAGCAGACAGCCCTTGCGTCAGCGCACGTGAGGATTCGCGAGAAACAGTGAAAGAAAGAAATCCTTTATACGTTTTCCGCCCGCCAGAGCATTGGCAATCCGCGTTGAACTGCGTTGGGGACTTTGCTGGCAAGGTGTCGTTGCGACTGATTATGAGGAAGCGTGTTGTGTTGTCATCTTGATCTTGAATCGACTTGGCTAGCACGTCGAGCTTGAAGGCTTTGCTTGCTAGCTCACTCGAAATGGCGGCAACCTTGCCGGTTGTATCGTTACTGACAATTGCAGCAGCTTTACTCGTCGAGCTCACCTCCAAGCGCTGGGCGTTCTTTAGATATTTGTCGAGAAACTTGCTGCATTGGCCCAGCGCTTGAGGGTGCGAATAAACCTTTTGGATGTGTTGGAAGCTATCAATCGGTAGTTCTTGAGCTTTTGAGGACTGGCTTGTGGCCGACGGAACAGTGGGACTGTCATGGCCGAGTAGATAGTGGTTCACCGGTACATAGGTATCACCACCGACTTGTATGTTGACGTAGCTTCGATTATAGTCTGCAAGGCCATTCAGGGTCAAGTCGACGGCTCCATTGGCAGAATTCTCAAGGGGAACAACACCCCAAGTTGCGCATTGGCTCTGCACTTCGACAAAGATATCTAGTCGCAGTGGATGGTTAGCCATGCTCGCTGTAGACCCAGAAACCTGGCCTTGCGTTTCATACCTTGGATAGTATCGACAGGTTTTAGTTGCCAAACATCTTCGCCAAATGCTTGTAGCGCAGCCTGTTGCCAGAATGAATTATTACAAACCGTCCATACGGGTGGTAGTGGCCTCCTTTAGAGAAAGTACCTGCTGCGAATACGATGCGATCGGACCAAGATACGCCACGATTGGCGAGCCAATACCAGCACAAGTGAGCGACATGGCTGTTAATAGTGATGGGGTTAGTGTCTAACAAAATGCGGCGCAAGGGTTGAGTAGAAATTATTGTCAAGCCGGTCGCGAGAAATTTTTGGTTCATGTGCACTTGGCGTTTGGCGTTTGGCGTGGGTTGATGCCGCTACTACAGCCGCATTTTTCTGCCATACTTTTGCTCTGTATTTGTACGACTCTCGGCTCCCTTCCATGTGCTACACGCTTCAGATCCACTCTTGATAGTCTTGACCTTTGGTTGCCCTGAACCCTTGGTGCTAGCGTCGCTAATTGACCTCATAGCCATTGAAAAGCCGCGCAGGACAAGAATTCAGGGGCTTGGTCAATCGGTCCTATGGCTGTTGAGTAACTGTCAGTTGATGTCGGGTCTTCGTTCATAATCTGCACTATTAGGAATCATGCGTCGGTCCGACATCTATGTGGCTTGTCTGTCAAGTATTCTAATTGGCCTAAAATAGTGGACCGAGATACATTTTCTTAAGAAACCAGCACCACCTACGCCGTACTATAACCCAAATTGTACGTGAGGCACTCGGGACTTAAGAGTAGAGCAGTATTAAAAATACACAAGAGTATATTAACCAAAGTAGGTATTTTTAGAGTTAATATTATTTATATAAAGTTATAATATAATCTTAATTTAATATAGAATGTTAATAAATAATTTTTATATAAATATTTATTATATTAAAAATAACATTTTCTAATATTATTTCTCGTAAATATCTTAGAATATTATTTAATATTAAAACTTACTTAAAAAAAATCTTATTTTATTCTAGTAAACTTAAAATAAAAAATAGTTATAGTATTCTAAAGTATTCTTTAATAAACTTAATATAAGACTTACTAATTTAACTATATTAGACCTTATAATAACTATATAGTATATAGTATTGCTATTACCTTACTACTCTAGTATTCCTCTAATTACTATAAGCCTAAGCTTTTAAGACGGAGAGTCTTGGTGAATGCCTTTCTACATCTGGTTACTTCCCTATTCATCATTATTCATCGAGTCAACACATCAAAATTTGTCTCAGCGCCGCGAGTAACTTATTTCCAGGTTGCAAGCGACGGTTACATTCAGTCGTCCCTTAGGGAGTTACTGAGGAGGAAAGAATAAGCCTTGCCATCGAAGCAGTGGTGAGACGGCTTTGCTTGATGTTTTCACCATGCAACAGGTTCCTAGCTGACGTTAGATCTTCACTTGCGTTAAACACTTCACTGCATTCTGAATCATCGAAACAGACGTTTTTTTCTCTTCATCTAGCACGAAACCTTCTATCTGTGTAAACTTTAATATTTTTTTGCGCCAACTCTGAAAAGTCGTCTACTGACGTGAAACATTAGGCTGTCTCTTCAACAGGCCGCAGCCACACGGCCGTAGCGGCTTCAACTGTACCATTGAACTCCTTGTCATACGCTGGTACTTCAAGAGTGACTGCAACAAGCTCCTGGAATTGAGCCCCATCAAAGGTAAGAATACGAAGTTTGCCCGCAATGTCATCAGTCAGAGCCAGGTATTGTAGGGACGGTGCATCGGGAGATGCTGCAGCCACCCATGGCGCGGGCTCAACTGCGTTGGCCGATTCTCCGCTTGTCGGAGTCTCCCAGATGTCAACAGCTTCCGTATGCACCAATTTGCCTTCGGTGTCCAACTCAAAAGCCGATACGTAGCCGTTGGCATTGTTGACACGGCCTCGAGTGGACGCAAACAAGTATTGAGGGGGACTGCCCGGAGGTCCGGTCGAGAGTCGAACTTCGTCCGCCGCAAAATGCGTTACGTTGCTACCCTGGGGCAGAACACTGGCGCCTTGCAAATGTTCCAGGTCCTTCACAGTTCCATTGCAGTGCTTCTTCACACGGAACACATCCACCATGTTAGAGTGCTCTCCAATGGTGTATAAGATCTTTCCGTCTGGGTGAGGCCAGGCATGGCGGGGGCCGTCGTGATCCCTCGGCGCTCCATGCAACTGTTGGTCTGTAAGGACGGCAGGGTTTCCATTGGCTTCCGAAACCGTAAAGGTCCACACACCATTTGCTCCAATGTCTGCAACGTATAGCGTGTCTCCGTCAGGGCTTGGATCAACACTGTGCGTTCCGTTCGCGATACCAGCGACCCTGCCAGGTGGAGAGACACCCTCACTGCCGCCGATGGGGAAATAAAGTTGTTGTGCTAGATCGCCCAGGGCCCCGTCGCTTTCAACACGGAATACCTCGCCCGATGCGCAGCCGGCGCTATACAGATAGGAGTTGGTAGCGGTAACGTAGCCAGGCAGTTCGACTACTGAGTTGGAGTTGATCAGCTCGAGTGTATGCGATGAACCATCATCATCGCGATGAATTTTATAGGCTGCTACGCCCGGGGGCTCCCAAGCCGTTGCGTAAAGTGTCTTTTGATTTGGTGCAAATGAAAGCCATGGGTGGTAAGCGGTGGCATTGCTGATGTGCGTAACGTTGAGATGGGCAAGATGAGGGTCAAAAGAGAGCGTGTACAAGTACGGGGCATTGAATGTGCCCACGAACAACTCCATATTCGGTTGTATCTTGTGACTTTAATTCTAGTTGTGTTCTGACTTTAATCTGTGTAGGTCCTGGCTGTTTAAGTAGATGAATATCGCTCGGGCCTTTGCAGAGGCCAATTGACCGGCGCGACGTCCTTATGCTTCATGCCTTGTGGTGCGATATGATGCGCTCCGCAAACTCTAAACAACATCGGAATTTCCGGAATTTCCGAAATTCCCATCTTTTCAACGCGCCTTCCGATTCACAGCACAGAAATCTCAAAACATACATTGATAAGCATATTTTGCTTTGGCTCAGGTAAATATGAGCTGCGCAGCTCTTTCCATTTTGCTGTTGCGAGGATGCGGCACCACATGCATAACGAACTCATTGGATGATGCATTCCTGGTGCGGTTCAAGGTTAATTGGCATTGATTCGGCCGATACTATGACGCCAAATGGTGCAATCATGGTATCAATCTTTCGCGCATCAACTTTTGCGCTGAATGAGTGGTAGCTTCCAGTGGAGTTCTGTTTCAGACTTTCTCAATACGTGATTTTCAGGCCGAGCATGCGCCGACTCAGAAATTATTAGGACCGATCAAGCCTCTGCCGGCTCACCGAAGAATCTACCCCGGCACACCCGGCTATTAATTGCCAAGCCGGTACCAAAAAACATGACCACCATTTGGTAGCCGTCCCCGCCGTCCCCGCCCCCTCTCATGGCCGTCCCCGCAAGAGAAGGCGGGCACGGCTAGAAAGTCTGTAAGAGAATCAGCCCTAATTATTGGTACCCGCTTGAACTACATCCTTAGCCAATGATGTCACATCACCGGATTCCGTAATGGGGACGGCACGAAAAAGGGAGCGAGGACGGCTAAATAGTATCTAGAACGTCAAGACGTCTGGAGCCAGCGAGATGCTCTTCGCAACAACGATTTTCTGCCAACCCTGTCTCTTTGTAGGCAACGACCAGGCGGCGGCCCGCCGCCATAGTTGAGGGACTTTAACCGAAACCAGGGCATCCTTGAAAAGCACAAGCGCGGAAGGAAATAGCCATAGTGGTAATGAAAATTCCATTGCATTTGTTTCAGCCCTTTAATATTTCTTTGCAGCAAATTACATCTCCTTCACCAATAAATTGTCAAAGCTAACGTCCGTCTGATACGTCCGCACGCCCATCAGACCGCCCGCAAATATGCCGTCTTGTGTCTCGACCAGTACCTGCCTGTGGACCACGACCCGAATCGTATCCCCGCTGGCCGACACAATCATCTTGGTTGGCCCCTGGAGCTCCCACGTCTTTCCTCTCTTGAACTCATGCCAGCCGCGGTCCATGCGCCCGACCCTGACCCATCCGTCGCGGGAGATGCCCGTGTAGTATCCGCGCAAATCATCCGGACCGGGTCCCAGCTCCGCGACACGGAATATGACGCCCGCATCGCCGCCGCCGCCGCCGCCATCGGGGAACGCAATGTCCACGGTTATGGAGACGTTGGCGAAGAAGCTACCCAGCGCGGCCTTACCGTCAACCGCGCTCTTGGCCACGAGAACCTGAGATGAGGCGTCAAATTCGCCAGAGTAGACCTGCCAGCCAGCCATGGTGCCGTCTGAGAAGTCGTCGATAACGATAGACGACCGCTGGCCTGTAATGTACATGCCTTGGAACTGCGTCAGCGCGTAAGCGGAGCGCAGCCCAACGACGCCTCGCATAAAGAGGCCGTCGTCGGCGCGCACCTTCATCTCGCCGTCCAGATATACGTAGAGTGAAGAGCTGTAAGCCTCCACGCGGAGGTTGTAGACTGTCTCACGTCTCAATTCCACCTTGACGCTCTGTAGTTGCTTCCATCCAGCGTCGTCCTGTCGGCCCAACACGACGCCGTTCTCCAGGCTCAGATAGGCATAGTAGCCGCGGTAGCTGCTTTCCTTGACATTGGATGCGCGAAAGAGAACCCCCGACTCGCCGGAAACTTCGTTGATGATGGCCAAGTTTGCTTCGACTACGACGTCGGCGTACTTGGTAGAGTCGGCCGCCCGCGCCTCCCCCTCGGCAACGACAATCATGCCGTTGGGCGTCATGTTGAAGGCACGGCCATACGTTGTCCAGTCATCAGGCATGCTCTGGAAATCTTCGAACCGCGCCGGGAGAATGGACAGACTCTTGAAAGAGGCGCCCGTGTAGTACGCGCGAGTGCCCACGAGGCCGCTGCCAAAGGTGGCATCCCGCGCGGTGATGAGGGGCGTCCTGCCGGAGCCCAGAAACACCTCAATACTGTCGCGGATGGCACGTACGCGCAGTTTCTGCCAGGTATTCTTTGGTATGCTTGCGTTGGACCGGCCAATCTGGTTCCATCCGTTATTGACACGGCCGAGAACAACCCAGCCAGACGCGCTGATGCCGGCGTAGTAGCCGCTATACGCGTCGGGGCCAGTGCCCATGTTGGACCCGCGCAAGATGAAACCCGCATCTCCCGTGTCTCCATCCAACTTGACGTCCATGCTGATGTCGGCATCAGTCCACGGCGTGTTCAGGATGGCCTTGTTACCAGCGGAGCTGCTCGCGACCAAGGTTCCGTCGCTGACTTTGTAGCCGTCGCCGTAAATGGTCCATCCCGCCATTTCTGGCTGGAAAGAATACGGAATATCGGCGCTGACGCACACATACGAGTCCACAGTGAGTGCAGCGCAGTCCTTTCCGACTATGGCGTTCCAATTGCGCAAGTCGGGGACGCTGATGCCATTCTCCCGAGCAATGCTGTCGCAGGACTGGCCGCCCTTGGGCACGTAGTGAAAGCGGTTGCAAGTCTTGATCATGCCTGACTGTGTAGGGCTCGGTGTCGCAGCTGTGCCGCCTGTAAATGTCGGCTTCGTAGGCGTGAGTGTCGAGGTGGATGTCGATGGCGTCGACGTTGGGGTCGGGGTTGTCTTGGTGGTGGGCGTTGCCGTTGTGGTGCTTGTTGGTTTCGGGGGAAGTCCAGGTACTCCAGCGCAAACATACTTATAATTTTTTTCTTCACTAAGACCAGCAATCAAGTCCTTTGTGCAAGACATCTCGGACAACCAGGGATTCATAGCCCTGAATGTAGCCAGGTCTATCCCAAACTTATCCGCCACAACTTCACAAGTAACATCGTCTACAAACCAAGTCAGCAACACTTTTCTTTGGTATTTTATGGTACAGACTTTTCTCACATTTGATTTCCCAGTCGCTAACAAATGAGTAGCAGTCACAGTCCTTAGCTGTGCCAGGCTCAATGATGGCATCGGGGCGCGGGCGCAGCTTAATGCACCAAGGTTTCTTCTCTTTCGGAACCGGTACTGTAACATGTTTAGCATCTTCATCATTGGAATGCCAGAGTTGAAGTGCCGACTTTCTACTTTCACTTTCTGCACGCAATATCGTTGAGTCTTTGAGAACATGCAACGACCCACGGGCAGGCTCGGGTTCCATTCTCGCAACTCGTCAATTGTGACGTTGTTCCAGTGCGCAAAACTCTGACAAGTATTGAGCGTATCTAAATCCAGGTAGTACATGTCAAAGCCCGCTTCATATTTGAAGCAGTCTTGAATGGTACCAGGAGCGAGTAGCTTCTCTTGGCGAGGCTTAGTGGGAGTCGGCGCCGGGCGTGTAAAGGTCGTTGACGGCATCGTCACCGGATAGCCAGGATAAGTCTTAATATCGCCGACGGCTTGTGTGCAGTATGCGTAGTTGAGCCACAAGTTGGAACACGTCTTGTCGACACCGGGGTTGAGAAAGTAAAAGTCGTCCAGGGAGACGCTGTTGGCCAGGCTTATCTTGGCGCAGTTGTCATCCTTCTTGACCTGGGTCGCGAAAAGGCTACATCAGCACTCAAACAAGTTTACGCGTGGGATATTCTCAAAGATACATACCGTGTACCACTTGCCACAATTCTTGTTGGAGTCTCCGTGGGCATTTTTCGGGACTGGCACCGCTTTTTCCGGCCGGCCTCGATCGACATTTACCGCTCCGCCAGGAGCACTGAAGTATGGTTAGGCCATCTTTATGGTGTATCAGTTGTAGGCGCTCGTGTGTCATCAATACATACCTAATGCAAATTGAACGGTCAAATAAATTACGAAGATTGCTACCGTCAAGCCTGATCATGGGATTCCAAGCTACAAGCTGTCCCACAGTCACCTGGTATTTGGCAGCGAGTCCATTGATGTCGTCCGCCGCCCCAATCTTGTGCACTTTGCATGTCGGTGGTATGCATATGGTCTTGCCGACTGGTAGAGGATCGCAGTCAATGCTCAGGCCATTCAAGTCAGAAATTCCGTATTCCGTGACACTGCGCTTTTGGGCCACAGATGAGCACGTATCACCAGCAGCCACCGTATATGGCCTCTCACAGGTGAACACAGGCTGAGAGGTCGGAACAGGTTGAATGACCGAGTATGACGGCGTCTTGAACGCGTACCCACCTGTCTTGCAGGACGCAGTGAGCGCAGCAAACTCCTCTGCATACTGTGGATCATAGCCAACAGGAGACTCCAGCTGGTCTTTCCAAGTGCCAATCTGGCAATCCGAGCAGACTAGGTCTTGTGATGGTTGTTCTCGGTGTTTCTGGTACAGAATATCGCAGAACTGACCGGATGAGCTACTCTTTGTCATCAATACATGAAATGGTAGATAGAAAGCACGAAACCTTACGGATCTTTGCGGCATGACAGAGTGTAGCTGTACAATATATAGTCAATCATCAAAGTTACTGTGCGTCGTTGAAGCGTTAGAAATAACTTGTTCAAGTTGAAAAGAAACACTGACCTGGGTACTTCTGGCCACTCTTCACTACAGAATCCTTTTCGCAGGCTCCGGCTATGGCCGACTTGGAATCCTGTAGCGCTCTGCCGCAGCTTGGCACACACAGCTCCTCCAACTCAGCTTTCTTCAAAAGCCGAGGATTGCCATCACTGCGGGTATAGAAAAGTTAGATCGACGATGCAGCAGTTGATAGGTCGCCTTCACGTACATTGCGATATAATTGGGTGAAAGACCGGAGCATTCTTGGACAGTGGCGTTGACTGCTGCGAAGCAAGTCTCGCCCAGACCAAGCGCCTCATACGCATATGTGATTTGCGCAAACTGCTGTGCGTTCAAAGTGAGCGGCAGCGATGCGCAAAAACCTACGATTTGAAGCCAACCCATGATGCTACAGCTATACTCCGCGACGCAAAGCAGTAAAGGTGCAGTTGGTGGGCATTGCTTTGCAGTTTGGGCCGGATGACGGACCACATGAAAGATAAAGGGCGTCTCGAGGCTCTCACTGTCTCCTCGCATATCCGAGGCATTTCGGCTATGGTCGCAATCGCGCACGTGTCCATGGTATCTGTTGTGATATATTAAGGGGGCAAAGCGCTCATAAGTGTGGCGCGTCCATTTTGAGTGTAGAACGCAAAAGTCCCCTGGCGGTTGAGATGCCACGAGGATATATACATGTCAACTAATGCCAATATTAATCACCCGCATCACTAGTGCGAACAACGGCCCTGGCCAATTTCCATAACGGGCTTCCCCGCATGAGCTTAATCCATGTTTAAAAAGTAGGTTGTTCGTTTGGGGCAAGCCAGGGTGGTCATGCGACCGGCCATGATGCGACCCTGCGCGGAAGCCTCGGCAGCAACGATTGGAGCAACTGGTACAGCTAAGCCGCAGCCTTGATTGCAATCGGGGACCTTTGATAGAAATATTGTATATCGGCACTTGTCGTGCGAAAGACCCCTGGCGGTTGACGGCACGCCAGAGCGCTCGTTCGCTCGAGACGGCACTAGACGGCACTAGAACCACTGAAGGAACTGCCTCGTGAAGATATCGGCTTAAGAACTTCAAATCATATAAACTGCATGTCTGCATAGAATATTGATTCAATATTGATACGAAATAATTATTGTCTTGGCGCAAGTATTTGCCGACTTCGCTCATCACGCAGACAGGCGTATGGTGATGAGTCCCCCAAACCATTCATACTCAAAAGTTGCTTTCAGTTGATGAGTCCCCCAGAATGTTCAGACTTGAAAGTTACTTTTCATTTGGCTTAGGCCGGTCAAAGAATATAACATTTTCTGCTTGCAAGTAGCCTTCATGCTGTTACTTCAAACTTTGGTTGCGGCTGCAGCCGTCTGGCTCGTGTCCAGTGGGCACGCGGCCGCAGATCCAATTGGCACAGATTCACGTTACTCCCATGAGCTCATGTTCGCAGGTGCACGAGCTAAAGCCTATCATGAAAGACAAAAGAGTCAAGGCTTTGGCAGTACGCTAAATCGACGAGAAGATTATACTTGCAATGCTTCCAATCCGTGTCGAAACAAAGCTTGTTGCGGGCCTTCTGGCTTCTGTGGCTACGGTAAGCAGTGTCTAAAGACGGCGCCTCTGACAAATCATCCGCCGTACTTGAAGATTGTATTAATGGCATGAGTTAAATAGGTCCCGTCTATTGCGGCACCGGATGCGTCTCTAATTGCAATGCGACAGCCGAGTGCGGAAAGTTTGCCAAAGAGCCGGGGAAAAAATGCCCGCTCAGTGTCTGGTACGTCGCAGGCCAGCCCATCATTGTAGACATACCAAAGACGATTCATCAATCTAACTTCTCAATAGCTGCAGCGAGCATGGCTTCTGCGGTACAACGACAGAATTCTGCAACTCCAAGTGTCAGAGCAATTGCGTCGAGCACCCGAAGCCCCCTGGCGGCTCCGAGACTGGGCGAACATTGTCCAGAGGCATGTTCACATATGATCACCAGCGTATCTTATTATTAACAAAAGTTAGTAATCGGGTACTATGAAGCGTGGAACGCCCGGTCCAAGTGTCACGAGACGCTGCCCGGGGACTTGCCGTGTAAGCGCCGATCCTACCTTGCAAATCATGACATGGACTTACACAGTCAAACCTAGTGGACGCCCTCACGCATGTCAACTATGCGTTTGCTTATATTCATCCAGTCTCATTTGCAATTACCACCATGGACGCTGCCACACCTGGCTCGCTGTTTATAGAAATGGCCAAGTTGAAGACAGCCAAGCCCAGTCTGCAAATCTGGCTCAGCATTGGTGGATGGACCTTCTCGGATGACAACACGCCCACGCAACCCGTCTTTGGAAACATTGCGCGTGAGAAAAGATACAGAGAAATATTTGCGAACAACGTACTCTCCTTTTTGCAGACCTATGGATATGATGGTGTCGACATTGACTGGTACGGTTGGCTCTCCAAAGCACTGGAATGCGCTAACCTGACTGGCGACGCAGGGAATACCCGGGCGCACCCGATCGTGGCGGAAAGCCTGATGATGTAGACAACTTTGTCCTTTTGCTCAAGGAGATTAGAGCTGTGTTTGACCGGTCGGGACGTAATCTTGGCATCTCTCTCACCATACCCGCGTCATACTGGTACCTGAAGTGGTTCGACCTACCTGGCTTGCTCGAGTATGCCGATTTCGTCAACCTGGTAAGACCCAAGCTTCCCTAATCACAGTAGCATATTATGGTGTTGACGTTCTTAATTAGATGAGTTATGATCTTCATGGAGTCTGGGACAGCAACAATCCCATGTGAGTCAACCACCACGGCACTCTACTCAAGATCCAGGACTGACCGACCGTTCTCTCTTGTAGCGGTAGTAGGGTTCTTGCGCATACAAACTTGACTGAGATTGCCCTTGCAGCAGAGCTTCTGTGGCGAGTGGGCGTCAAACCTTCGCAAGTCTCTCTAGGATTCGGCTTCTACGGCCGCGCCTTTACACTGCAAGACTCCTCCTGCACCAAACCGGGCTGCCCGTTCAAGGAAGGTGCCCGTCCCGGTGTCTGCACCGACACCAGCGGTTACCTTGCCTACTACGAAGTGCAAGATATTTTGCAAAAGAACCCCGACATCAAATTTATCCACGACAAGGAAGCTGCAGTCAAATACATGGCATGGGACAAGGACCAGTGGATTTCATTTGATGATGCAGACACCTTTAAGCAGAAAGTCGAATGGGCGGACAAAATCGGCTTTTCTGGATCGTTGATCTGGGCATCAGACTTGGGTAGGGCGCTCCGTGGCTCAACAATGTTCACAGTCGAGTTGCTAACATGTGAAAACGCCAGACGACTACACATGGAGCGCACACAAGGCTCTCTTGGGTAGGGAGGTAGCCAGCAACAACGACATCTCGGATCCGCTAGTTCGACGAATGCTACCGGGACACACATACGAGGAATACTCGACGGAAGCATGCTACCGCCACAAGGACTGCGCAGATGTGAATAATCCAATGGTATCAGGGTGCGCCAGTGGCTACTTTAATGCTGGCTACGACGTTTCCGACTGTGGTGACGACAAGAAGGTCAAGGTCAGTTTATATTGCTACTCCTCCCGGACTCTGTTGCTCTGTGCAGTCTTTCAAGGTAGCTAACTTGGCTCATATTCTTGAGCTACTGCAAGTATGCGAAGCGCATCTGCTGCCCTTCCAGCAACGAGCCAAAGTACTGCGTCTGGCGCGGCCGTCCCGATCTGATTGGTGACTGCAACGGCCAGTGCCAAGAAGGCGAGATGACGGTCTTTGAGTCAAAACGAGGCGGCAAATCCGAGCTTGGCGACAAGGAGGACGAGAGCCGGGACAACAAAAAGTGCAAGCGAGGCTTGAAAACATTTTGCTGCGGCGCGCGCCGTTTCATCAAAGAAGATGGAACCTGTCGCTGGACAGAATGGTTCGTTTTGATCCCAGACAGACGGGAGTTTACAGCCGCAGCTAACAAGACTCGGTTGGGATTTCTAGCAATGAGAAATGCTCCAGTGACGAAAGCGAGCTTGCCAAAGTGACGCAGTACGAAGACAAGGACAAGGGCATCAAGGGCTGCAACTGGTACAAGGACAGCCAGCGGTACTGCTGCAAGAAGGGTCACAACGACGTGACGGCGTTCGAGTACTGCAATTGGGTAGGTCAGGGCGACTGCGCAGAGAATCGCTGCAGCGGTTCGGAAGTCACTGTCCACACGAGCTCGGTCGGCGAAAATGGCTGGAAAGCATGTCTATGTAAGAGATATCCCAAGCAGCAGTCTTGGTGGGCTCATGTTGCTAACCATACGTGTTGTCGCAACCAAGGGAATCGCAAAAAGTCGCTCTGCTGCTCGCCAAACCCCAAGTTTGACATGCAGAGTAGCGCGACCATGTGTTCAGACATCAGTTCATGCGGAGACAATTTTGAATTCTGCGATAAACCAGACGTGGAGGAGGTACCCGACGACGAGGATGATGATTCTCGGCTTGCTCGCGCAGCTGTGATTACGGACCTTAGTACCTATACTTCCACACACCTCCTGGCTCCCAGAGGTGGTTCGAGAACCTACATCTTCAAGGTTGCAGAGACCGTTCCCCATCTAGTGAAAAATCTGGGGCCGATAATCGAGATGAAATCGGCAGGGTATCCGTCACCATCGAATCTCTTAAAAAAACTGGCAAAGGCGAATGTATCGGCCCAAGCGTACAAGTAAGTGGTATCAGCAGACCTAATGATGCGACTGGCCTCCTCACATTGCTGCTCTACTCTTTCTTTCCCCGCCACTTCCCATGGTTATTTAGTTGATGCTGATAACCAATTATTACAGAATGGCAGGGGGACTGTGCGTGAGGCCGAGCCTCGAGAAACTGAAGGCCTCGGATCTAGTAGCCTCGACTTCTCCGCTTCTGCAACAATTCAAGCTGCAAGTGGAGCATCGAATAGATCTGCAGGTCCTTCCCAAGTTCTTCAATACTGCCATGACGCGTGTTCTACCATCGGGCAGCGTCGTTACCACCAAACTAGGTTTCGATGCCTTGAAGCTCGGCCAAAAATGGAACCAGGAAATGACTGGCAAATTACCCGATCTCACGTTACCTAGAAACGCTTTACACAGCATCAATAACCGCATGTTCTCCCTCATGGGAAGCAATCAGAACCTTGATCCGTTCCTCCTCCTCCCGGATAGGATGAATAACAAAAAGGGCAACTTGTTCAACTTGTTCACGTTTCTTTCAAATAACGCGATGCAGAACGTTATGAAGAACAAGACTGATCCCGTCACAAACGCAGAGAAATTGCTGGCCGCGGTGTACGAGGTACGAGATTTACCCACAGCCGAGACGAAATCTGCGAGCATTTAGGCTGACAGTACTTGTGCCGTTGTAGATCCCCGGGATATACCAGTATATTCAGTTGCCTGAGTACACAAAGGGAGCCCTTGGTATCCTCAATGGGTTAAGCTCCGAGGCTGGGGTGGGGGAAGCGCAATGGGGCCTGAAGGGTTTCCAGGAGCTGTGGCACGAGTTTCTGGCCGATTACTTCAAGTACGCCACCAAGATGGGCTCGTTCCACTATGAAAATGTCATCACTGGAGCCATCAATGCCATCACGGATCCCAAGTACGGAGTGCCGCTTGAGTCGCTAGCCAAGTATAGTGGAGAGCTTCGGGAACTGAGGGGATGGGCGTCAAACCTGACTCTGGAGCATCTGATTCCAAAAAAGTAATTTGATGGTGTTCGGGTCACTGCCGTCAGTTATTTTGGTACAGCCATTCCGTCATATTCAGTGATTAATCAATCGAGAAATGAATACTAAGCGCTCGGCCAACTTCCCGTTCTCTCCCGTTTCTCCCCTCGCGCCCACCTATCGATCTGATACTGGGCCCCTTTCCAATGGCCCTCGGCCACGTCTCCTTTCCAGGGCTCCTCATCATCCGACGGCCAAAACTCCCTGTTTTGTATCATGGGCGGTCGGGCACGTTCCGTCCCGCCTTCGAGCATGTAAATGTTGTCGTAGTCCCCCACGACGTCGGCCAGCGGCAGATAGTACCAGCCGACATTGTCCTCCGTATTTCCCTCAATGGCCACTTGTTCGCATTCCACGTTGCCGTCCTCGTCCCAATCATTGCGCAAGCCGAGCTCCTGCTCCTCAGATATGTATCCCATCTGCACAACACCAATAAACGGGACCAAGTCGGTGTTGTAAGTCTCGGGCCTTGGCGTCGCCATCGTCGAATTGAGCGAGCGCCAGTCTGCCAGCAGACAAAACTCGTAGCGCATGTTGCCGCCGCCCGCGGGAGTTCCATAGCCACCCGCCAGCCTGTCGAGGGGGTTACTGAGCACGACGCCCCGGTCGACCGCCCACTGCGCAAACTGCTCCCGCACCTCGTACGTCGTCACCGACTCGAGATTCGCGCGGTCCTCAACGACGAAAAACTCCATTAGCGGAGCCAGGTCCATCCGTTCGTACCTCTCAAGGGACTCCTTTGCCTTTTTACCCAAGGCTTCAAGGAGACGCGCAAACTTTTGGTCCGAGTCGCCGCCATACGCGGTGCGAAAGATGACGAAGCCCCATTTGCCGTTATCCGCGGCGACCTTGTCGTGCTTCAGAGACCAGTCGACGTTTGCCATGGGGGGCTTTGGCCAAATGGAATATAGCATGTGCTGCCCGATGAGCGTGGAGGAGTTGGACGGTCTCGAGGCTGCGTGGGCGACGACCCTGCCGCTGTAGAGAAGAGGGTTGAGGCGCGACCGCAGCATGGGCGCAAAGGCTGCTTGCGGGCGCGACGAGCCCAGTCTTGTGAATTGGCGAAGCATAGACACGCTAAGTACGACTGAGAATATGATGATTCGCACAAGCATCAGCCACAAGGTTGATGGTTTGCGTTCAAGTTCTTGCTCTTCCCCCTTTTTTGGGAAAAGGAGGCGTACAAGCCTCCCACGTGCATGGCTGCAGGTATAGCAGCAAATCCCAGCTACCAGTTATCGACTGAAAAGTTGAATATAGGGTCTTTTGCGAGTGAATAGTTGTAGTGCAACTTTGCGGGCGGACGTGCACTAGGTACCTTTGCTCGTTATGATTATTAGTGTGTGATAATCTGGGGCACGGCCACGATCGCACCAAGGAAAAGAGGAGCAAATTGGCCAACCAACACAATAGTTACATATCACTGCCATCGCAAAGGCTGAATACCAAGCAGAAAAAGATAACAATAAACGAAATCGATTTATCGGCCATTGTAAAAATAAATTACCCTTTCATGAACCCGATGTACACCCCGGTATTTGGTCTTCAAAAGTGGAACACAGGACGTCCCCTACAACCCCACAACCCCAAACACCCTCCTTTCATCACGCGTCCAGCCTCATGCTCTATCAGATTGGCATTTACCACAATAGATGAAACAAGATTTGCAGTCAGCAATATGACTCGTCGTCAGCCAGATACTTCAGCAGACTTGTGCGCCACGTTCGGATCATCTTCCGCTCCTCGGCAGCGAGCAGCGGCCGCCGCACCGCCACATCAGGAAAACACCCCAGAGCAATTCACACAGCCCTTTTGCGATTTCATGACGGAGAATCCTACACCTTTCCATGTTGTAGACTACTGCAAGACCAAACTCCACGATGCCGGCTTCCAAGAGGTAAGCGGTCCTTACTTATGCGAGCCATGGCCGCCAAAGGGCTAACCGACCATGCCACACACAGCTACCCGCGCGGGAATCGTGGGCAGGCAAGATTCATCCCGGTGGCAAGTACTGGACGACTCGCAACGGCAGTGCCATAATAGCTTTCACCGTCGGTCATGCCTACAAGCCGGGCAATGGCGTGGCCATGATTGCCGGCCATATTGACGCCAACACAGCCAAGTTGAAGCCCGTCAGCGCCAAACCCGTCAACGAGGCCGGTTGCATCCAGCTGGGCGTCGCGCCCTACGCCGCGGGCCTCAATCCGACGTGGTGGGACCGCGACCTAGGCATCGCCGGACGCGTCGTCGTGCGCAACCCGAACACGGGCAAGTCGACGACGCGGCTGGTCAAGCTAGGCTGGCCGGTCGCCAAGATTGCCACCGTGGCCGCGCACCTGTCGCAGCCGGCCTTTTTTGGCGATGGTAACCTCGAGACGCGGATGACGCCCATTATTGGTCTTGCGAGCGCCTACTCCGAGAAGGAGCAGCAGCCACTGGGCAATCCCGGTGAATTTGTGCACAGCCAGCCGCCAGAGCTGGTGCGACTGATAGCTGGTGAACTGGGCATCGCGTACTCGCAGATTACCAACTGGGACCTCGAGCTCTACGACTTTCAGCCTGCACAGGTCTTTGGCATGCGCAAGGAGCTGATTACCGCGGGTCGGTTGGACGACAAACTGTGCTCGTGGGCGGCCATGATAGGTCTACTAACGGCGCGATCGCGCAAGGACGACGGATACGTCCGCCTCGTCAGCCTTTTTGACAATGAGGAGATTGGGGGCAAGCTACGCCAGGGCCACGGCAGCACGTTTCTGCCAGCGACGATTGAGCGCATGGTGGAATCGCTCACCCATTCTCATTCTGCCAAAACACCGTATGCAGTAGACATTTTGGGTCAGACGTACGCGCAATCATTCTTGATTGCCAGTGACGTCTCGCACGCGGGTCACCCAAACTTTCTCGAAAACTACATGCAGGGCCACGTGCCGACGCTCAACACGGGCATTGCCATTAAGCACGACCCCAACGGCGGCTTCAGCACCGACGCCGTCTCGGCCGCCGTGCTCATGCGCGTGGCGGAGCTGATTGGCGCCAAGGTGCAGCCGTATCAGGCACGTAATGATGTGCGCGCGGGCGGCAGCATTGGTCCGATATTGTCCAGCCTGATGGGATGTCGAGCGACGGATGCGGGCATTGTGCAGTTGAGCATGCACTCGGTGCGGGCCTCGACGGGTGCGCTGGATCCTGGTCTAGGGGTCCTGTTTTATCAAGGATTTTTGGAGAATTGGGAAAAGATTGACAGTGGATATGCACCGTAGACGAGGGGCGGTGAAGGATGATATCTGCAATATAAACAATATTGGTCCTCTATGCCGTCGCTAGAACGCCAATCTCCCCATTATATATGCTCTATGCCAAATTTTCTTGATAAATCTTCAATCTAGTTAAGCGAGGCGGCGTATGTCTCCCAGAGCTCTCCAATAGTCGAGCCAAATAAATCCGGCCAAAATTTCTCCTCCTCGTACCTCTCCGACTGCAGCTTGGAATTGATGCGGCGCACAGTGCCCTCTCCGCATTGCCTCTCAAGATAATCCAAAAAGTAGCCCGTCGTCTCGTAGCCCGCGTCCCAGTTGCAGCCCTCGGCGCGGGGCTTCCAATGCGGGGGCACATGTCCGCAGCGCAGACGCACCCAGTCAGCGATGCCCTCAATCAGGCCGCCCTTGCAGGTATGCTGTCCATCGTACTGGAAGCAGTGCACGAGCTCGTGCGTGATGACGCCGTAGAGCTCGTCGCAGATGCGCTCGGGACTTTGGTTGTCAATGTGGCGCGTGGACAGGTGAATCTCCTTGTGGTCGCCGTCGAGCTCGCTGCCGGTCGTGTACGCGACGCCGTCCATGTCGCGCACAATCAAGGTGACGGAGCGCGTCGTGGGCAGCGGGCAGGGCGCGCGCGACGGGTGCGTGTACAGCAGGCGCAGCACGTTGTGCGCGCAGCTGCGCACGCACTCGCCAAAGTTGATGGCCGCCAGCGCGCGCAGCGTCCCCTTGTTGTCGAGGTCGCGCATCTCGAGGCGCAGCTTGGGCAGGTGAAAGCCGCCGCCTTGGTGAGCGGGCGTCACGGGCGCTGGCCGGCGCAGGTGCTCCGGGATGGCGGAGGAAGTAGGCGGTGCGCTCATGATGCGAGGAGGCGAGGAGGGGGTTTGGCGAGAGGGAATCGGCTATGAGTCTGTGAGGCTCTGCTCACGGTGATGGAAGTTGAGGGGCCGTTGCCGAAATTGTAAACACGATGATGCTAAGAGGTGGGGTGAGAGGCGCTAGAAAATAGGTCGTCGAGGAAAGGCGATGCAGAGGCCATATGAATGCAGCGTATGTGTTTTCTGATTGATTCTGCTCGGGAACGCTCTTGTGAGAGTGATAGTGGTTGGATGAGGACAAATATTTGGTCAACGTTGATGAGCGAATAGAGTTGGTGCACAGGCTCTCTGTTGCACAACACGACAGTAGAAGCTCTGCACATATCACCGACGCTAATAAGGGCGCTACAGCCTACATCGATTGGATTAGTAAAAGAAGATTCATTTATCGGTTCCATGGTTTGTGGCTCATATGGAGGTCAAAGCAAGGCTGACGTTTTGACGTCTCGGCCGAGCGCTGTCGATGAACAAGAACGCTTTCCCAAGCGGAGCACTTGTAGACAGGTTGAGTAGCAATAAATGTGCATTTAGCGCCAAGTCGAGGGCGCTACTTCTTTAAAAAGTTTTTTTTTTTTTATCAAGAAAAGAAATAGCTATTCTATGAATCCTCTGCTTCAGTATGTTTTTTTTTCCCACCATCTGACGCCGCTGTCTATCAGCTTCACCAACTCGTCGCATCAATGCTAAGGACAAGCACACCAGTTCTCTAACCTGCAAAACAACTTTAAACAGCATATATACTACAACTCTCTTTTCATGTTAGCAGGATCGGAATTTTACCATCATTTTGACCACTGTCTTCTGTCGTCGACTTAATAAGGCCTAATAAGAGCACCGGGGGCAGCTAGGACCCATGGCGCAACGGTAGCGGTTCGTAACCCCCAGCCATGTTTGAGGCGCACCTCATACTAACTCCCTAGACAGCGTCAGATTCCAGTGGTTGAATATCTTTTCACTCGAAAAGCTGATACCTGGAGATTCCTGAAGGTTAGGCGTTCGAATCGCCTTGGGTTCAAATCCCACCTTTGAGGTGCATTGAGATTTTTTGTCATCCGTCGTTAATTTTTTTTTTGTGTCTTTGTGGAGGATCGTGATACTTTGACTTTGGTGTTGCCATTGACTAGGCACAAGTATCTTTTTTAGCTTGTGGACCCTGGCCCGCCAAGTAATTCAGGTGCTGGGAATCGGGCTTCAAGAAAAAGGTTAGTGCATGGATGGAATTGCATGTCTCTGGACTTGCCGATGGTGTGTAAGCCGTCTTTGTTGTTGCGCTGTAATAGCGACGCAGCCAGAGCGTATTTAGATTCTGAAGCCTGTCCTCGCTCTCATTATCTCTATCTTGCGGTTTCCCAGAGCATGGCCCCCTACCCGGACACATAAGAGTCGGTGATTTCTTAGCAGCTGAGATTGTATAACTCGGCTTTTCAATTGCGCCTCTCGACAGCATAGATTTCAATCTTGAAGTGCTCCTTCTCAGGTGGCAAGGGTGTTGAAGCCGGACTAACTTCCTCGCCAAATGAACTCGCTTATCTCTTCCATGTGAGACTATGGAAGTTTCAAAATACAACTAAGCACGGTATACTCTCGGATATGAGTACCTTCAGAACTACTCCTTTGACTCGTGACGTCTTGCGATGGCTGGCTGGTGATGCTTCATTCACAGCCTCATACCGCGGCGCAGGCAGTGGCTGGCTACAGACACATTGATAACGAGGCCCAATGTCGCAAACTCGTGAGTTGATGCACCAATTAGCCAAAGAAAATCTTTGCATAGCCTCTCTAGCCTCTACTCATAGTTAATGGCTACCACTGTGGCCATATGCGGTGAGGAATTGCGTCATAGTCTTTGCTGTTGTCTACCGGGTAAGTACACAAAGGTGTTCATTGGCATGGCGACGAGGGGCAACGAAACGCGCCGTTGTGCCTAGCATGTCGGGCTATGGAGACGCGGTACCTGCGGGGTACCTGTCGGCCACATGCAGGTGCAGGTTCAAGCCCCTTCTGGACTAAAAACATAAGTCGCGCTATGTACCCGCTACGTTGTCCGACCGCTGAACAAACCACCAAATCGTGCTCCATAGTGCAGACTGTAAATAATAGGTAGCTCGGCCGTCAACCGCCGCCCACCTTCACTTCTCAACAACATCCGCCTGGCTTTGCCATTCAATCACTCTCCCATCAATCCTGCTCGATCTCCAATGATAACGCCATTCTATCCGAATCCGCAATTTGCTAGCTTAAGCCCCTGACATTTACTCCTAGACACGTAGCGTACCTGCTGCCCGCGCAGTCGCCTCGTGTGCAACCACCCCAGTTACCCTTGATACTCCAGAACCGACCCCTCCTACCTTTGCTGGTGAGCACACCTAATCTCCCCCTGATGACCGACTGCCCCCCCTTCTGCAACCCGGCTACAGGCTTCGTTTCAGCAGATCTCGGGACTAGTGTCGCTGCTTAGCTGCTGCTGCATATTCACGTGGCTGTATTGCTAACCCGCTTGGTCCAGACGTTTGCGCCGCGCAGAGCTAGCTGGCCGCAGCACAACATCACCACATCAACTCGATCAACGCCACCACAGCCCACATTGCGGACAATACACTTTCTCTCACGCACCATGGCTGAACGCCTCACCGACAAGCAGGTCACCGACTTGCTCGACATACTGCGCAGCAACGCTGCCCTCGACCACAAGGTCACTGCTGTGACCAACGTCAAGTCGGCCATCAAGCAGCACAACGTCCCCGAGGCTTGCATCGCGCAGCTTTTTGAGGCCCTGCGCACAGCTTCCACAGCCCAACATGCCGTCCTTGTAAACGCCGGCTTCACTGCCCTCGGTCACCTGTTGACTCGCCTTTCACGCCAGGAGCCCAAGCACATTGGAAAAGAGGCTGTTCGCACCCTGCCCGTCGTCATTGAAAAGCTTGGCGACCAGAAAGACAAGTATCGCACATTGGCTTCGCAGGCTCTGACCACTATATACGCGGTGAATCCTGGTGAGGTTGAGCGCATGATTCGCACGACGGCCATGTCAGGCAAGAATCCTCGCGCCAAAGAAGCCTCCTTGAATTGGCTTCTTCAGGTACGACACCCGCCTTCAAGTCGGGCTACTCTCGCTAATCGTATGAGCAGATGCACCAAGACCACGGCTTACAGTTCCGAGGCTATGTCCCGCTGCTCATGGAGCTACTCGAGGACGCCGATGGTATGGTTCGAGACGCTGCCAAGCACACCGTTATCGAGTTGTTCCGGTATGTTGTAGCTCGAATTCCACATGTCTAGCACTAACACCTTTGCAGAAATGCGCCAAACACCGCGAAATCGGATCTTAAGCGACAGCTCAAAAACTACAAAGTTAGGCCCGCGATCGAGCAAGCCATTATCAAAGAACTTGCCCCGGGCGGCATACGCTCTGAAACACCTTCTGCACCCGCTCCAGCCAGCCGACCGCATCTTACCACCAGCGTCTCGTCCATGTCGAGCGAGCGCCCTATCACACCAGCCGTACCAGAGTCTCAGACGGACCCGGTCGAGCCGCAATATGTCAATACCAACCGCGAGCTTGATGAAGTATTCAAGGGCATGGCTTGGCAGTACGAAGGCCGCGAAACAGAGCAGAATTGGCAAAAGCGAGAGCAGGGCATGACTACCCTTCGTCGAATAAATGCCGGCAATGCTCCCTCTGATTTTCATGACACATTCGTCAACGGTCTCCGTGGCATGCTCGATGGCATTATCAAGTCCCTGACTTCACTGAGAACGAGTTTGTCCAAGGAAGCTTGCGCCCTTATCGAAGAGATTGCTCGCACCCTTGGTCCTGCCATGGAACCAATGGTCGAGCTACTCATGCAGACTTTGCTGAAGATGACTGCCTCGACAAAGAAGATTACATCACAAATGACAAGTTCCACAATCGAAACCATGATTAGCAGCATTTCTTACACACCTCGCATTATGCAACACATTTGGAGCGCTTGCCAGGACAAAAATGTCCAACCCCGTCTCTACACCAGTAGCTGGCTCAAGATGCTCATCAAAAAGACGTCGAGCAACAAGCATCATATTGAACACACCGGTGGAGTTGATCTAATCGAAAAGTGCTTGAAGAAGGGTCTAGCTGATGCTAATCCCGGTGTTCGAGAGAAGATGCGCTCCACATATTGGGCTTTCTGGGCTGTATGGCCTGCCAGAGCAGACGCCATCATGGAGGACTTGGATGCCACCGCCCAAAAGCTTCTTAACAAGGATCCGAGTAATCCCAATTCTCCTAAGAAGGTTGAGGCCATTAGGCCTGGCAGCAGCCTTTCTAGAACGGGCAAAACGGCAAGCAGACCCAATATACGTGAAGCTATGATGGCGCAAAAGAGGGCCATGACTGCTCAGAAGCTGCCGCCTCGCCCTGGGTCGGCAATGGCGCAGCTATCGCCAGTACGCACAACGAACACGTCCAACGCCCCTACCCACCACCAACAGCCGTCACACGCTGCTGCACCTCCAAAGTCTGCAAGCCGCGCTAGACTGGAATCAACCATTTCTGTGAATGCTGGCGGCATGTCAGGTGCACCCATGAGGCCGTCCAGGAGACGCCCAGAGATGACCAGACCTGCCACTGCTGGCCCCTATTCCGTCAGAGATCAGCCTGGGCCAGAAATCAACAGTCCTGAGTCTCTCAAATCCAGAAGTCAAACACCAAGAGTCGCCAAGGATTTGACGCCTAAGAAGCCCGTTTCCCGAGCTCGTCCTGGTCATATTTCCCATGGTAGTGAAACCAGCATTCCGTCGCCCACTTCCAGGGTTGGGGCCAAGTCAAAAGTCGCCTCTCCTCGTACTAGTCCTGCAAAGCCTAGAATGCCGCACGAGGACTTGCTTGGATCGAGCCCAGCTCGTCACAACCCTGGTAGGCCTGGTCCAGCTTGGCACTCGCCCACAAGGGCGCACGAAGATATCAGCCTTGTTGTTCCCATCATGCCTAGGCTCGATTCTGCTTCAACAATTGTTGCTGATGATGATGAGCTTGTCGGTGCGAATATTCCCGTCACGCCGCCACGAGTGGTGGCCCACATTGCTCGTCATGTGGAACCTCAGTCGCATACTGAGCCGTTGAAAGTGTATGAAGATCCTGATGCCGAAATACAAAGGACACCAAAGCCCGAAGTGTCAGCTCCTGTACTCGAGGACAAGCCTGTCAATGAGGATGCAGCCAAACTCCAAAGAGCTGCTGAGCCTTATTCAGCTCTGGTGGAACCCGAATCGCCCGAGAAAATGCGCCAGACCTCTCGCCTTCTAGACAGTGGCATTGCCAAGATCAAGGCCATGTCCCTGGAAGTCCACGGTTTTCGGAAGCTGCAGTCGCTTATTCGTGACAGTAGGACCACGCTGACCGACGACAAGTTTGAGGCTCTCTTGCTCGGCCTGTTCAAGTATCTCGAGAACCCTCTCACCAACTTGCCATCGGACAAGGGCCAGGACATCAAGGCGCAGATTTTGGCTACCATCAAGCTCCTCCTTAAGAAGGAGAGAGAAAACTTTCAGCCCTACGTCTCCAAGGGTCTCGAGGCTCTATTACAGACGCGCAGCGCCTACGACTCGCGGGCCCACGTTGTCAGCGGTCTAGAGCTTCTCGCGGATGAGCTCGTCGGGATCGGCGATGGCTCCGAGATTGTAGTCGTTTTGACGCGCCAGCTTCACGGTATCACTGATGCCACCACCGAGGGTTGTCGCAGCCTCAGCATGGGTCTCCATGTTCTCAAAGAGATGCTTGATAAGCGCGCTGATTACCAGCCCACGTCGAGTGAGCTGGAGCAGCTAACAAGTCTAGCCGGACACTGCCTGGAATCGACAGACTCGGGCGTACGTATGGACGCGGTCAAGTTTTGCGTGGCGTTGCATGCGCTTGTTGGAGAGGCCAAGTTTTGGGATGTCTTGAATGAAATCAAGGATGATCCGAAGAGTCTCATCACCTATTACATTGTAAAGCGTCAGCGCGAGCAGCAGGTTTAATCATGTTGAGGACGTGTGTAAAATTGTTGGTTCCTATTGGCGCTAGGTTGACATATATTAGTAGCATATACTTGAAGGCCGTTGTACATGATATTATAACATGAAGAATATTAGTAAAAACTTGCTGTGTTAGGCCTCGTTCGATTTCTGCTGCTAGACTCTCTCACACAATTGGTTTTGTGTTGTGTTGTGCGCTGATCCCCACCGCTCTGCGAGAGGTACAGTTGGTGTACTTCGGAGAAGGTAACGCGCCAATTATGAATAGAGAGACCAGCTATGATGAATTGCCGCCTCTGATCGGCTTGGAAAAGAAAAGATGCTTGATGAACGTGTCAGGTCGCCCAAATCCAGATGATTTGTACAACTAATACGCAACAACAAGTAGCGTTGCAAGACATGGACATTATTTTCGTCGTTTTCTATGCAGATTAATCTAGTATTAATTTGTCGCCCTTCTAATGCTTTCGTGAAGTAAAAAAAAAAAAATATATAGCCAAAATGTTTGAAAAGAAGCCCCGATATCGACCAAAAGAATGCATCCAACACCGCCCCTTGACTCCATCTCCACGGACAATACATCTAGCACTCTGTTTCCCTCTGTTTCTCTCTTTCCTCTAATGAGCTTCTCTTAGACTGCTGCTTCTCTAGCCACTGATTGACCCTCTCCGCAATCTCAATGTTATTCTTCTCCATGAAGAACATGTGTCCATTTCCATGGATGCCCTCTTTGCCCAAGTCGGCATACTCGACGTCCACGCCCACCTGCTTCAGATACGCTACGGTGCAGTAATCGTAGGGGGCGTGGAAAGAGGCCTCACCCGTGACGACGAGCTCAGGGATGCGCGCGAGGTTGGTCAGCTTCTTGACCGGGCACGTCTGCATGATGCACACGTCGTGTTCGGCATCGACGGCAGGCACGATGCGTGTCTTGATGAGCTCGGCGAGGAGCCCGGCGGGCGGGCTGTAGCCGATGGGCAGGTCGGTCAGGCCAAAAGCAAAGGCGGGATCGTTGCCAAAGGGTGGGCGCAGGGTAAAAGGTGGTCCGGAGGGCTCGAGCTGGACGATGCCCTTGACAAGGTTGGGACGCATGTCGCCGACCCGCCAGCCTATTCAAGTTAGAACTCAATCAACACATTCCATCTTGATTATGATGCCAACATACCATATGCGCCTGCTTGGGAGTGGCTGATGATGTAGCATTCGCCGACGATGTCGACGAGTGCGGCGTACGCCTTTGCGTTTTGCTCCTCGCTGATGAAGCGGTTAGTCTGCAACGGGACCTGGCTTCTATAGAACGCGTCAAAGGTTGGATCGCCCATGCGTCCCGTCCCCGGCCATTGTGTGTGTAGCTTGGCCTGGGGCCATTTGTTGCCATTGTTAGCCGTGTCGGTAAAAATGTCGGAGACGGACTGCGGGGAGCCTATGGTGCCAAAGCGGCCCTCGCCGGAGGGCTGCCAGGCGGAGCGGCCACGGGCTGGCTGGTCGGAGAGGTAGACGGTGTGGCCTTTGGAGAGGAAATACGAGGCCCAGCCGGGACGGCCATCAGGGGTGGCGAGGAAGTTGGTGCCGGTCTGTGCGGCGCCGGCGATGAAGATGATGGGGATCTGAGCGTGGCGATCGATGGTCGGAGGGGCGGGGTTGGGGGTTAGCTTTTCGACGTATATTTGGCCGACGTGGGCTATTGACGTGGCATTGGTGGAGCGGTCCTGTCAAGATGTTTGTTCAGCGTTGCATTCGGGGTCAGACCGGATGTGATGGTTCATAAACGGAGGGCGGGGGCGCAGCCCAGAGGGGAACAAGAGGGGAACAAGAGAAGGACTCGGGAGAGGGGAGGGCAGGAGCGGAAGGTCATCCGTAGTTGCAAACAAAACGTACGGTAACGTTGGTATACTCACCGCCGACGTAGAGTACGTCACGACGGGGTATAATGTCGGCGAGTGAGACGGACGAGGCATTGTACTGCTGGGCGTTGCTACCAAGAAAAGCAAACTGCATCCAGTAGGGCCAGGAGGCGAAAGACGCGCTCAAGTTGACCATGATGGTGGGTTGGAGAGGGGGTCCAAAGTTGGTCCCAAACTTGGTTGGTAGGTCAGGTGTGTTTGTGTGTTGTGGTGTGCTGGGCAATAACGACGAAAAAGCAAAATGAATAGAAAGGGCAAGACTAGTCAAAAGGAAGGCTGCGTGTAGAGAGTTACTAGCGGCGCCAACTTGTCTCAGGAAAGGAACGATTGCGAGAGGGATTAACAGTTGGGTAGGTTGGGAGCAGGTGTTAATAAACGACACAATAACCTAGTTAGTCTCCATACACCTACAATGGCAAAGAGGTAGCACAGCGGGGGTTGGGCAAAAAAGGTAGCGGGAAAGTTGGTGGGAGCTAGGAGCCTGATCTGGATTCTGATCTAATGCGAGTTGGCCCCGAGCGCATTCGATAGTCTTGGTAATAGTTCTTGACCGCGCCCAAACCTGATGCGGAACTCGGGATGAAGAGGCCGAAGAGGCTGAAGAGGCCGTTGGCAATATAATCATATTGATTAATTCGTAAATGAATGGCGTTGGCCGAGTAAGTAGAATAAGGTACTACCCAAGTTATGGCGGCTTTGAACCGTAGCACCATCCGATGCGCTGCAAGCAGCTAACTAACTACCTTACCTAGACAAGTTAGCGGGGGCAAGGAGCCCGAACAAACGCACCAGCCAAGCAGCCAGCTTCCGTCCAGACGGGTCCATGGAACCCATCAAGTCGCCGACCAGTCAGGAAACAATCGATTTTTGTTGATATTAGAATGCAAGCCACCATCAACCTTGAATTTAAACTCAACTCCAGCTTAGGGTCTCAAACCCTGTCGATTTCTCCAACCCCTGTTCTGTCAGCTTTCTCTCCTGGGAGCTGAAACCCCTTCCCCCGCAGTTGTCTGAAGCCCGTGACTTTTGGTTCCTGTGTGTGGAGCTGATCATACCTATCCTCTAACCAACTAAACTGTAAACGTAAAACAAGGGGACCTTTCCAACGTTGGGTTTTCTGAATCGCCCCTCGAACCGATAAATCGCTCTTATTTTTCAGCCCCAAGCCCACATTTGCATCGTCTTTTTCAAGCGCCCGCTCCGACATCCGAATTATTAACTTTACCCAGCTAATAGAGAGCGCCCGCTTGCCTTGCCATCCATCCACTTTCTCCTCCACTTTCTTCTCCCCCGTTTACCTCCACTCCACCCGTGAGCGACCTTGCCTACCTAGTAATAATAAGTTGCCCCCTCCAGAAACACATTCATCTCCAGCAAGCCACCACTTTTTTCGCCGCCGCCGCTGCCAACAAGGCTCTCTCTCACCGTTTTCGAGTCCAGCGTTGCGGTGTGGGCCTTTTTACTCTCTTTGGTCCCCGTGCTTTCCAAATCCTCTCAGAATAACAAAAATCCAAAAACATTCGCACAAAGAAAAAGCTCGGCATCCGCGTACCTACTCCATAACACGTACCGTACCGTATCGTAACGTACGTAACACGCGCGCGCACACACCCACACAGCGCACCAACCATCATGGCAGGCCCGACAACGGGCGGCGGCTCACCAGAGCGCCTCGTCGTGACCAACGACCCGGGCTTGGACCAGCGCGTCAGCATCGCCTTCATCGTCATCGACACCTTTTTCCTCGCCGTCTTCTTCGCCAGCCGCTACTACAACCCAAAGGCCGTGGGCAATCCCATGCTCGTGTGCAATACTCTGTGCTACATCTTTTGCCTTGGCAGCGCGACAGCGGGCATCTGTAAGCGCGCCCATCACCAGATTCCCGCACCATAATAGCTACTTGACATCTAAAAAAAAAGTCGCTAACCTAATCAATGACCAGTAATGACACAAATAGGCGGTGTCGGTTATCATGTCGCCGACGTTCCCGTGTACACCTTTCAAACATGGCTCAAGCTCTCCAAGGTGCTCGAGTTCACCTACACCCCGGCCGTCATGTTTGCTAAGCTCGCCGCCCTCTTCCTTTACCACCAAGTCTTCCGCGTCACCGGCTATCGCATCATCATCATCATCCTCGGCGTCGTCATCGTCCTCCAGGGCGTCATCGCCCTCGTCCTCGCCTTCTCCATCTGCCGACCCTTTCGCTTTTTTTGGACGCAGGCCGTTGATCCCAACGATGGCGTCTGCGGCGATGTCATGCTCTTTTACAAGCTCTACAGCGTCCCCAGCCTCGCCACCGATCTCGTCATGCTCATCATCCCCTGGCCCATCCTCCTGCGTCTGCAGATGCCCGTCCCCGAGAAAATCGGCCTCATGCTCACCTTTCTCGCCGCCTCCTTGGGCATCATCACCTGCGCCCTCCGCTTCTCCGTCTTCTTCACCACGCCCCTCTTCACCGACCCGACCTGGTACGCCTCGGGCGGGCCCATGATTTACGCCCTCGTCGAGCCCTCCATATACATGATTGCCAGCATCCTGCCCACCACCCGCCACCTCCTCCGCCGTGTGCACCGTCGTCTGCGTGGCGACCCTCCGAGCGTCAACGCCTCGTGCGGCCCCGACAGCACCGGCAGCAGCGGCGGCGGCGGCGCCAAGCTCGGCGAGTTGGAGAGGAGCCAGCACAGCGGCCGCAGCCGGTTCGCTCGCCGCGCGGATCCCTACCGTCATCACACCACCACCACCACCACGAGCCAGGAGGAGCTGACGCTCGACGAGTGGCACCACACCCGCGAGGAGTGGCCGCGACCCATGACCAAGGCTACCGAGGATATGTCGCGGCCCATGACCAAGGCTACAGAAGACATGCCGGGAGCCCTGGAGCAAGGTCAACACAAGTGACGGAGTACCTTGACTCGGGGGTCGTGTTTTATTAGCGATTGAATGACCTTGATCCTTTGTTTGTTTGTTTTCTGTTTCCTTACGGCGGATAATTGATTGGGCAGATGCGGGTGCCAGTACCGTCCCATATACCCTTGTTGAATAGTTTGGCGCTGTTGGCTATATGTCTTGCACATGATTGTGTAAATTTTTGGAAAAAGTAAAAATTGGCCTTGAGCGGGAATACAAATAGGTTACAGATAAAAGATAATAGGATGAAACTAGATTGCCCGACTCAAAAGGTTTTAGTGTGATAGAAAAAAAAACAAGGAAGAGGTGATTGTATTAGTATTAGAGCATAGCTTACAACTAGCCCTGCATTCAGACAAGATAAACAAAATGTACATTTTCCTTGCCCGTTTCCTCCACATGCTTTGCACATCTTTTCCAACCAGTCAATTCAATCCATTCCTGACTACTCTTCCTGCCTAATCTTATATCCAGGGCCGTTTTCCTCATGGCCGTCATGTTTCCAAAAAAGAAAGCGAATCCTAGTCATGCAAATAACGAAAAAAAAAAAAAAAATGTTGACCCCTAAAATCCATCATGATTTCATTATGACCCTATGCTTGGGAAAGAAGAAAGGAAACAAAAAAAAAAAGGAGAAGATACAAAAAAAAAGAAAGGACCCATTTACAGCCAGACAAAATAGTGTGGCAAATGACATGAACAAATCAATGCTTCTTTTACAGGCCAAAGGCAGATGCTGAGCGCGCATCTGACGACAGACTCAGCGGCGTGCGGCCGTCAATCGTGGCCACCAGCTTCTTCAAATCGCGCTGATTCGTGTCAAACGTTCGAAAGCAGGACTCGCAGATGCGCAGGTGACAAAAGGTGCAGGCCCAGCGGTCGTCTGCGTTGGCCTTGCTGCACGTCTGGCACGTCAGCGGGTAGTGTCGATTCGTGCGGCGGTGCATGATGGCGTGCTTTTGGAAGCACGAATGGTGTGAGTCGTTGAGTGCCGGCGCGGCATGAACGCCGTCGAATGAAGTTGTCGTCGTCTCCTTGCCCTTCCATGTGGGAAAGTGGAATGCGCGAGGGTCGGGTTCGCGCAGATTCTTCATTTCTGGATAGAGAGTGCCGTCTCGGCCGCGATACATTGGGCCCTGCTCAGTTTGGACGATGCGTGGGTCGCTGGCAGGACGGCGCTGCTGGCGCGGAGTTTGGTCCGGGTCGCGTCGGAACCGGCGAGTCGGACTGCTGCTAGCGCCACGAGACTGGCCCGAGGGTGCGGAGGCGCTCACGGGCGTGTTGGCGCGCCTTGAGTCACTGGGAAACGAAGGGCCCGTGGCGGATAACAGCTCAGACTTGTTGGCGAAAGGGTCTCCATTAACGGGCGACGGCGCAACGGCGGGCGAGACTACACTTGTCGGTAATGGTGCAGTGGCGGACGAAACTTCACTTGTCGGTAATAGTGCAGTGGCAGACGAAACTTCACTTGTCGGTAATGGTGCAGTGGCGAATGAAGCTACACTTGCAGATGATGGTGCAGTGCTGAGCATACCTGAGGTGACAGGCTTGCGGCGCAGCATCTCAGTGAGCGTCGATGTAGACGTGACAGGGCCAAGCTTGGTCACGGTGCTGGAAGGCGCGTTCCTGTTAGGATTTCTGGGCGGCGGCGGAGGGAGTTCTTGGGCGCATTCGGGCAAAGAGCTGTTGGCTGACTCTGGGGATGAAGCGGGCGAAGCGGGCGAGGTAAAGGTGGTGACGACAGCGGCGCGGGACTCTCCATTTTGATATTCGGGCGTCGGAGGGCGATTGGTAGGCGGCGCGGCTGCGGTTTCAGGAAGAGAAGGCAATGACTGCTTGCTTAGTAATGGGTTTATGGTTAGTTGAGCAGAAGTGGTTGAAGATGGGGCGTCATCCTCGGGCGCGGCAGAGGGCCGAACGTTGCGGCCCGGTAGACCGCCAGTAGACGGAGGTTTCCTTGTCTTGGCAGGCTGGGACTGTGAGGACTCGTCCTGTAAGGCTGTGGGTGGCCGTTGTGTAGAGGTGGTGGAGGCGGACATGATTGACATGGCGCTAGAAATGGTTGAGCCGTGGCTATGGTCGAGCTTCAACTCAGAGATTTCGCGATTATCATTTAGAGGGCGGCGGCGCCATATTTCTGGTTTCGACGGAGGGTCAGGTGCCTCATTTCTGTCGGTCAAAGACGCATTGGACGGAGACGCGTGCAGTCTGTTGTGATTGGTAGCACCAACAGGTGTCTTGTCCGGGACAGCCGGGGCATCTGGCGGAGGTGAAGCCTCACGACTAGAGGCCAAAGGTGTGTCGGGATATACGGCAGTGTGAGGAGTTGTGGTAGGCGTCTCATAGGGTCGCGAATAGGCTGAAATCAGACTCGAAATGGAGGCGGTGGGCGAAGGCTCAGGAAAGGGTGAGAGTATGACATTGTTGGTTCCGCCAACGGGACGTCTGGGTATCGACATTTTCTGAGGGGAGGCGGCAGGAGTATGCTCCGAGGGAAAGGCGCCCGGTATGGACGGGAGAGAAGGAGACTTGTCGAACGACTGAGGCGGCACGGCGTGGGCGTGGGAAGCGTCCTCGTGTGGTGGCGGCGGCAGGTCGGGGAGGTTCTTTGGCAGAGGTGGAAGGTCGGGAAGATCCTTTGGCGGAGGCGGCGGGTTGGGGAGGTCTTTTGGTGGAGGCGGCAGAGGTGACAGCTGGTGAGAGGCAGAGCGCGGTGAGGTTGATGACCATGCGGAAGACGAGTTGGACGAGGGTCTGAGAAGCTGAGGGACAGAAGGCAGGGCCTTTGAGAAGCGAGAGAAGCCTCGAGGCTTGGAGGCGGTGGCGGGCTGTGCCATGCTTAAGAGACGGGAGAGTTATAACTTGGGTGGTTGATATTGGAAGGGGTGCGATGCGCAATGGAGCGCAATGCGTCGCGGGCGAGCCCGAGTGGGATTGGGAGAGCCTTTGCCGTTTCTGGGAGAGTATTGACTGGGAATAGAAGCTTATTGGGGCTGTGCGAGGTGCGACAGGGCGGACAAGGTGCGAGTTGAGAACTCTGGCAGCTTGAGTTGGTGGTGACGTGTGTAATGGTATCGAATACTCCGTATGGCAGGGCAGGATCGTCTGCGCAGGCGGGACCGTTGTTGGTGAAACGCGAGGAGCATTCGTATCAAGTATGATGGCGCGATGCGGCGTGGATCCGTCTGTACTTTGGGAAGGGGTTTCTTCTGGCTGAATGGTAATACAGCCGACGTCGAGGATGGCAAGATGTAAATGAGTGGTGGACGAGCCGGAAGAGACAAACGCAGCAGTGGCGACTGGGAGAAAATACGAGATGGAGGCGCAGGTCGCGGGGGACGCAAGGTTGTACGTTGAAGGATCTAGGAGGCAGACACGAGGTCGGAGCTGATGATTGTTGGGGGCGTGTGGCGATGGATGAAGGGTGTGTGGACGAGAATGGGGAGGAGAGGGAGCGAGGTTGGCTAATAGGAATCCGGGGGAGGTTGAAGAAGCAAACGAGGGAGAGTGGGAGGATGAGGAGGATGGAAATAATGACGGGCGCTGGGGAGAGAGGTGAGGAATGGAACTGCCAGACAAGCGAGATGTAATTATGATGCGAGGTATGGATACAAGGGGGGTGAGAATGAGAATGTGGGTGACTGAAACTGGCGCGTTGAAGGGAGCGTTTGCAGTAGGTAAGTAGGTAAGCAGAGAATCGGAAGGGTTCGGGGCGGCTGAAATTTCCGTGGTAGTCGATCGATGCCCTTGAGAAATCAGTAATTAGTCAGCCCAACTGAGGGCTCAAGATCAAGACGGAGATTTGGGCATGTTTGTTGTTCAAATTCTTGGGTGCTTGGGCATGAAATAGCGCAGAGGATTGTAATTACGTCGTGGTCGGGCCATGGTCGGTTCCTGGAAAAGAGGGCCAAGAGGCAGCCCAAGAGAAGCGGCTCAGCCCTTTTGTGCGGGAAAGTGGGCAGAATCATGATATTCTCATATTCGGTGCTCTCTTGGCTGCCTGTCAGTGGCTGATGCTTGTCAACTGGCTTTGCGGCCCCCACTAGAACGGGCCTTTTAGTGGACTTACAGCGTCTTTTATGGGTCTAGGAGATGCATCAGTGGAGTACACCAGTGGGTGGTGGGGTAGAAACAGTGGGCAGGGCCGAGGCGGCGGACTCGAGATATACTAAGTACCTACTTAGGTACGGATTACTGGTGTTGGAATTCTGACAGCTGATGATGCTGCTCACTTCTTACTGTTTATGTTCCTGAGTTCTTTTTTTTTCCTCCCTTTTTCCTAGAGTTTTTAGTGTTTTTCCACTTTCTCTTCTTTTCCCTTTCTTTAATGCCGCTGCTGATCTATTTACTCTTGGATAGGCAATACGTCTCCACCTGCCACGACAATGCCATACATCACGCCAACAATCATCAATGCCGAGCTATCATTCTCAAACTCTAATCACTCTCTAGCTATCCCTTAATCCTTATTTCAACATATATAAATGGTTCTTATGCTCATGCTTTGCCGCACACCGCCTAAAGACCTTTTTATTTATATCCGTTCGGTGCCATTTCACTTGTCTCTGTCATTTGATATGACCCCTGCTTGCATCTCGTTACTCGCGAGTCGCTACACATTCACACCCATGCGCATCGGTCGCCAACGCCTTGTGCCACGATTCGACTCCCTGCTCTGAGACATTGACGACGCGATGCGCATACACCATTCTTCCAGTCCTCCTCTCTCGTAATCATTCGAATGAGGCAATTTTTTTTTTTTTTTTTAACTTGGTCAAATACCGGTTGCTGCCCTCCTCCTACATGTTCTCCCCACGGTCCCCCGCTGTCTTTGCCTTGGTTGCTTGATCACGCCCCTGTCACGCTGAATCCCCGCAATGACCCCATCGCAGCTCATTGGCTTGATGCCTGAGTCGAGTGGCACGAGTGCTAACCAAAACAACTGAATGGGCATCTCAATGTCTTTCTTGGGCTTGTGCATTTTATTCCATTTCCGTCTGCCTCGCCCTCTGTAATTGCTTCCTTTTCATCTTCCATCCTGCAAACATCTACCCTCGCCCCGTGTCTCGCATGTCCCATGCCAAACCACGGCAACACTGCCGCTTTTGCATTCCTCTTGCATGTTGGCGCCGCCACCCTTTCGACTTTGTTCGTTTATTTATTTTTGTCACGATTACGAAACAATTACACTGCTATGGTGAACAATGACTTCGATTACCCGTCCGCCGTTGCAATTCCACAGCGGCGACCATGTCCCGTAGTAGCTTACCTACTTCTGTTTGAACGACTCAGGGTTCACGCAACCCTACTGCCACGACTGCATTCACATTCACCAACTAAAAGAAAAAAAAAATCAACTGCGCCAGTCTAGTATCTGCACCAAGCTCGATTCGTTTTTGTAGATGATTTTTGATAGGATTCGACTTAGATTTGTCCTATTTACCGCTATGGGTATTCGCTATCCACCTTCAGCCACTATGCCTGCTGAAACCAGCCCTGTTTGAGATGGGCGGGAGCCGTCTCCTCCCATTTCAATCAATGTGTTTTTCGAGTTTATTTCCGACAATCATCTTTTTGCCTGGTTTCACCGCGTCAAGGGACTGAACCTCTACACCGCCATTCAAAATTTAATCACGCTGAAACGTAAAGAGGGGAAAGCAACTCGAGGGACACGTCTCTGCCATGTAGCCCGTACAGGGTAGTATCACGCATTTATTTGACCAAGGCTCTGGTGGTCGGTCCCAATATACTCGGTATACGTCAAACAACGCTCGTGTATACTCAGTATGCAAATTCTTGATGAAGAAGCAGAGGGTAAGTCTCGTAAAGCACATCAAGCTAAAGTTTGCCAAGCATATTCACTTCAGTATTCTGTGACGATCCGCTTGCAACCATGACCTCCAGTGAAACATAGCGATCAATTTTATTATCTCAGGTCAGCCGAGTCGTAGAGTAGCCGCCATAGCCGAGCTTATGGGCAATCTTATATCGGCCTTTCTGAAAAAGTGTCTCCGATCATGATTAGATGGTAGCCACCGGTAGTGTACTTCGTAGTTAGCGAAATCTTTCGAGGCCACTCCAGGGAAGTAAACAGTCTTAGACTACCTTATTGAGATGCATTGTCGGTCATTGCATAAGAACATCGAAGATAAAGCCGCCGCTAAGACAATATTGGTAGATAGCTAGTTGCCCGTCGAGCGCAGGTACCAGCGCGGCCCCAGAAAAACCCCATGATTGATGTAATTAACAAAAGGTCATTCAGGTCATTTAGGTTAGAGTTCTTCTAAACGGGTAAAGCTGAACTGATGAGTTGATAACAGGTTGACTAGACTACCATCAGAGTGGGTCACAGTCTGACAAGTTCAACGGCTGCCAAGTTAATCTATCCACCGTTTGCTTCATCTTTTTTCATCATCAAAAATTGAACAAATCGAATTTTTGAATCATTAATGATATTATTAACGAGAAAGGCTTCGCTCGTGCTCGCTCCGCGCTAAAGCCTGGAGGTATCTCGACTCACGATTTCTCGTTGACTTTCACCTGCCCGGATTTTATATCCCTTCGGAATCTTACGATACCTCCAGCCAGTACCCCCGGGCTAGACACAACAAATGGCGACATTCTATCTGAGAGCTCGCATACCGCCATCAAAGCGCCCTGATGGAGAATTTCCATCGAACGAAGGCGTCACCAGCGACCTTCAGCGCAATCTCGTGACACTGCGCAATCCACAATACCCTGACCAGCACAACATTTTGCTTTGTTCGCCGGCGCTCGATCTGTACAAGAATCAAGGCCCGGGTAAAGACGGCTCGGATGGCTGGATAGACTTCGGTCTGCATCATGAGACGGCTCGCGTCGCATAGATGGCTTCCTCTCGTAGGACCGGACAGGCGATGTCTGACCTGTAATGCTTGGGCCGGACGACCTCTTGCTCGGACGCAGCTACTACTTCCACATTCCGAACCGCGTTGGCAACACCATGACCGACCCGTATCCCGGCATCCTCGCTACGCGGGATGAGGTGGATTATCTCGGTGCCGGGTTTGTACGATGTGACGCGGCACGAAACATCGCGCACGAGGACGCTATGACTGGTTTGACTCGTGGGTAGAGTCAGCAATGACGCTTTACACGTGGGCGGCAAGTTCTGATGTGGGTGAAGTCGTAGTGAGGAGAGTGCTTGTATTCACCTATGTGCCTAGGTGCAGTCTGTATGGTTGTAGGATTATCGCTGCCTCGTCGAGACTTGCTCTATATTCCCTGCTACATACCTGCTGTCTCGCTGCGCTGCGCCACCGAGTCATTCCCACCATGTACACTTTCTTATCATTGCGAACTCGCCGCCTGCTAATAACCGCGACCCCGCAGAACGGCCCGTGAGCCGTCACCATGGCAGCCGCTATGACTGCTGGCGAGTAGGTACCTTGCTGCGTCTTTATTATCTCTTCCCTGCTAACTCCTCGCTAGTGATTATGATGAAGGTCCCCCGTATGTGAGCTTCGTCTTCGATAACTACACCCTGCTAATTCTAATCGCCGCGTCCTCGCAGTGTTGAACACTCGTGTGTACTGCGCCACCATCTGATTGGTCTATACCCGTATGAGTGCAGAAATGACATCTGAGCTCCTTCCGTGGATGACATCCGTGTTTCTTCAGCTTCGCGACCAATTTTCGTGACGTGTTGCAGGACTATTGGTCGCAAGGCTGTATGGCAGCCTCTACTCTGCAAAAAGCATGGACGGGGGATGCGATCCTGCAGGTTGTGGCCTCTTGACTGGCCGAAAGACTAAACTGCCAGTGGAGTAATCTGCACGCCATGTGAGAAGTGCTGCACATGTATGCGAGTATTCTACCATGGTATTGGGTACTTGAGTCTTGGACAAGTAACAGCATTGTATTACTCGTCGGGTCTGTACATTCGTCAAGGTTTCCAATGGTACTCTGTACATTGGTGGCAGCTTGCACGATGTGTGGCTGAGGAGAAGCATCAAATATTGTCCGTCCCCGGCTCGATCATTGCACGGAGACATTTTACTATAAGTAGAGCACCTTTGTATCGATGTTTCCAACTTTTTATCTTTCTTCCCGGAGCATCGACACCATCGAAATATTCACTCTACACTATCGATACGCCGACTCCTTTTATAGTTTGGCAGTTTGCATCAAGAATAACAAACGGAAAGTATAGACTCATCTTTTGTTGGTAATCATGGGCTCAAAATCAAATGCATCAAACTTGGGAAAGTCCAAAGCGGCTTCCACAACTGTCGTGAAAGCTAGCAACGCGACCAGAGAGGTTGCTGCTGCACCTGACTCTCAGGTCTCTGAGAGGGAGATCCGCAACGTGTGGCACTCTATCAAGACCGCCAACGAGAACAGAGGCAAGAACAACGCAATCATTGCTGTCGTTCCAGAAATTCAGGTCAAAAATATGCAGGACAAAATTAAGAAACGGGAAAAACAACTCTGTACGTTCCTTCGTTGCTCAACTTCTACATTTCCTTCCTGTTAGCAATCTCATGGGTGCAAAGCTTGGGCTAACTGGGATTCAAGCGTCCAAAGTCCTCGTGGCCAGCGAAAAGAACCTGCAGCAGCTCATCGAACAGGTCGCCAACTCGATTGCTGAGCCGTCAAAGGGAAAAGCCAAAAGTCTCCGACAGGGAGAAGTCATGGACATTATTGTCTCCTACGCAATCAACATGATAACTTACAGAATCCCGGCAACGGTCAAAACAGTCAAGGTTGATGCTTGCCAAGGAAGCCCGCCCGCGTACAAATTGAACATTGGGTTAAAGTCAACCTACTGTGAGGTGAATACCTTCAACTGGTTCCATCAAGGCAACAAGATGCTCGACAAGCGGTCGCTAGAGCATAGCCCGAAGTGCTTCTTTGACTGCAATGAGGACATGGACCAAGTGAGAGCGCTAGTGAAACCGCCTACCGACCCGATACCCCTTCCCACGGCGATTGAACTCGCTGGTATGAAGGATATGTTTGTTGACTTGACAAAAGAATGCATGGAACAAGAGTCCAAGAAAAAAAATGATACTCACAAAGTTAGTCCAGGAGTTGTGGGTTCATCTAGTCCGCAGACTGACGGCACAGAAACGTGGTTTCAGAAGTGGAAGGCGGTTCTGGCGACCGTCATAGGAATTGCCTCTGGCATTTCCGGTGCCGGTATATTCACCACTGGATGGGTCACAGCAGCAGGGGTTTACATCAAAGGGCCTTGCGGCCTCGCCATCTCGGCCGGATACTTTCATGGTGCCGTCGTATCCGGTGCTGTATTGACGGGCGTCGGTACGGGTATGGTCGTCCCTGGTATGTTGTATTTGATCCCATGGCGCAGGGTATTCGAAATGTTGGGACAGATGCTAGCGAGCATTTGGGGTCATATTTGTGAAGCAATAAGCTGGCTATGGGGCAAAATAAAAGAACTAGCTAGCACTGTCATTCAGGAGATCCAGAATGTTCGGAATGCCTTTTTGGGTCAGGCTTTCTCACGGGCAGTGCCTGCCAGATATGGGTGAGAGAAAAGAAGAAGAGCCGAGCTCATACGTGAGCGAATATCTGAGCAGATAGGAACGATTTGCTGTTCAGAGAGGATCTTTTTAATTGAGACCTTGACTAGACTAGAAGTGTACAGAATGAGCGTCAAGGCATGGACAATGACCATCTCATAGTTTAATAGGTTCGCCCTTTTTAATACCAGCCAGCCAACTCGCATCTTTTCTGCCCAAGGCGACCAGATAGTTAATCAGCCCTACAGTCAGAGGCTCCAAAGCTACACCAAAGGCAAGGGGATTGAGTGTGTCGTCGAGAACAGTCTTGCTTGTGCATCCAGAAGCAACTTGGTTGTTGAAGGCATCATCTGCAAATTTGAAAGCATCAACAAGACCAAGCACAGCTGTAGTGACATGGCCACCGTTTGCGTATTCGACAAATTTAACAGTGGCACCATTATCACACCAAGTGTCGTGGACTTTGGCTGCCGGGGCGTATGGAACGAGCTCGTCGGGCTTGGCATGGAACATGAGAAACGGCGCGGTTGGCTTCTGCGCCTTGTCGACGCCAAGTGTATTGTCCTGTAAAGCTGACAGCATTGTCGCGTTGGTGAGTACATCCTTGCCAAGGCTCTGATATTTCGTGTCGAGCAGAGACTGGAAAGGGAAAACGAGGAGATTCGGTATAAAGCATTGGGTATTGGCGATTTGAAGCACTTTTTGAAGTGCCGACGTACCAATCCCGTCAATAAATGGCTTCAGAGTGGCTCCATAGGCCGACGGCTTCATGAGACCCGCCAAGGCGACAATCTCAACGCCACTTAACAGCGAGCCGTCGATAAACTCAAAAATATAAGTCAAGTTGGCTGGAATTCCGCCTGCGGTCCAGCCCTTGACTGGCAGCTCGGGGGCATAACTCGGCTGCAGAGCCGCGGCCCAAGCGGTAGCAAGACCGCCGCCAGAGTAGCCAGCGCCGACAATGGATGGCTTGTCCGTCGTGAGACCGAGAGTGCGTCCAAAATTAGAAACGGCCCTCATGCTGTCCAAGACTCCCATGCCAGAGAGCCGGCCAGCTGCAAAAGCGGCGTCTGGGCCTTCATAGTCGGGGGAGGAGACAATGTAGCCCTTGAGAAGATAGATCTCAATAATCAGCTGCTCAACAGCATTCGTAGTCAATATGGAAGGCACTATGCTAGACCCAAGGCGGTACGAGTAGCTCGGGTTGCATTGAGTAGCAGCGCTGTCGTAGGCGCTGCTCCACGTAACAAAGCGATCTCTCTTGCCGAGGACGGGCTTGAAGACGGTGGTGACGGTAGCAATGGCCGACCCGTCGACCGCTGTGGTGCGGTACAGAATCTGGTACGTCTCGATAGGATTGGGGATGATGGAAAAAAAGGATGAGGCCACTTTGCGGGAACGAAGTACAGCACCGGGACTGGCCGACTCGAAACCACTGGGCGGGACGTAGAAGGGGTCTTGGCTAGGGTTTGGGATCAGGTCCCTGGCATTATTGATGGTCCGGCCATAGGCGGAATTGAGAGAGGCAGTCAGAAGAAGGATGGTGCGAGCCACGGACCAGATGGTGATCTGCATAGTTGACTTTATAAAGTGAAACCCTGATGTGTCTTTGCAGTTATCGACCAGCCTGAGAGCTTTGGACAATCTACGGGCCGTCGTGTGGTTTAAGTACAACGACACCAAAGTCTTGGAAGGAGTTTCTACTCATTCTTTTTTGTCTCAGCCCGTCAGAGGAGCTGAAAGCTGAGGATGCCGTCTCAGATGACCTTTCGACTACGCTCTATAGACTTAGTCTGCAATCATTGTCTATTGGAAAACAAAACATCATTCCATTATTACTATCATGATCACTCTTGTTGTTGGTGGTCAACGCCAACTAACTCCGGTGTGGCGCCCGTGCGTGCATACCGTGGTGAAAGATTCGACGTCGAATATAGACCAGCCGAGGCGCAATCACCGCCGACAAGCAAATAGTTTTAGTTCACTAATACCGAGGGCCCCGCTACCTCAAGGGTCTCATGTTCCCCTCCCCCGCGAAACGCTATATTAGGCTGATTCTACCAACGTGGGGATTGAGTTGGATGCCCCACGCATAAAGCGACGTTCCCCCGCATCTTGCGAACTTAGCAACAGCTTCAGCTCATACAATCAGCTGTCAAGAGCAAGGGGCCACTTGCCCGAGAAGGAAGTTTATGCGACGGCCGGCAGATTGTTGTAAATTAGGGCGGTGTTTTGGTTGCGATACCCGAGGAGGGCTAAACGTGCGTAGCGAGTTCGACGTCGACCATGCCAACTACCTAAGAGAAAGCTGCCAGAGTCGTATCATCTTGCGAGTCTTAGCTGCAGCAAGGTCGTAGCACGCTTCTTCCAATTCGTAGTCATTGCCTCGACACGGGACTTACTTTGTATTCCTGACTGCTGCGCGGCGGCTATCTAGCCCTATCATTCTGCGCCAGCAGGTTCTTGGTGTCATAGTGCATGCCCGAGATGGCATTCTTGACTGAAATGTTTTGCAAAAACTCGCACATGCCCGCCGCTGCCCTGCCCTGCCCCATAAAGTACGCCGCCAGGCCGGCCACGTGCGGCGTCGCCATGGACGTGCCCGACCCGAGGGCGGTGCCGCCGCCATTCTTCAGGCTGACAATGTCAACACCCGGCGCGTGAATGTCAATCATGGAGCCGTAGTTGGAAAAGTGTGCGATGCGGTCATTACGGTCACTCGCGCCGACGGTGCATGCCGAACGCTCCGAGGCGGGTGACACGTCGCCGGCGTCCATGGGACCCTTTTTCTCGTCGCCATTGCCGGCCGCGACGGCCACGAAGAAGCCCTTACTCACGAGCTCCGCCACCGCGTCGTTGGACGCCTGTGAAAAGGAGCCGCCTAGGCTCATGTTGACCACGACGCCCTTGGGGCAGTTGCGATTTGCCACGTCCTGCGCCACGTACTCGAGGCCGCGGAGGATGCCTATGGTCGGGCCCTCGCACTCGCGGGTGCGGTTGTTGTAATCAATCACCTTGATGCCCAGGAGCGTCGTCTTCTTGGCCACGCCGTAGGTGTTGCTGCCGATGGTGCCGGCCACGTGGGTGCCGTGGCCGCAGCTGTCGTCGTTTGGGCCGATGAAGGACTTGATCTGCTCTACGCGGCCACCGAAATCCTATATTTAGGGTTAGTGCACTGTTGATGAATTACGGAAACCCGTGGTTGAAAACACTGTCCATGCTTCTTCTGCCTTTGATACTACAAATTGATGTTGGAAATTGAACTTACAGAATGGGAGGCGTCAATGCCGCTGTCGACAATGTAGCTGCAGGTTCCGGACCCTGGTGACGCAATGTCAGTAAACACACTTTCATCTCACATCTGCGATTCATTCGGCTGAAGAAGTGGCAGGTTAGATGCAAGGCATGCCTCTTACCAGAAGAAGAGTCGTAAAGGTAATTGCTGGCGCCTCTTGTTTCGTGAGAGATGCGAGCGAGACCCCAAGTAGACGGGCTCTGCGTGGCGGGAGCAAAAGCAACCATCTTGGTATTCTGCTCCACATATTGGACCTTTAAGATGATTCTCATCAGCACCTCGGCGCTTCTTACAGTTCCAAGTTCTCTGGAGGCAACTAACCTCTGGGTGGCTGCGAATGAGGTCCAGAGTCGCGGCGTCAAAATGGCCCGCGAAGCCTGTAAACACCTCGCGAAACACCTCACCAGCCCCGTTGGGGAGCGAGAGTGATTTGATGGTCTCTTCGACGGCAGCTAGGGTGCTACTTTCTTTAAACTTGACAATGTATTGGTTCGCGACGAGATCCCCGGTGCTGACGCTGCGCGGGATCAGCAGAGGTGCGGGCTCGGATCGCTTGGCTCTAGGGACGGCATCGGCCAAGGGCACAAGGGAGAGAAGACGGGACAGACGCATGTCGGCAATGTGAAATGAAAGTCGTGCAATGAGCTGCTGTGGCCTGGGTTCTCGAGGGCAAGTGTTGTTCGAAGCGAGCAGAGTCTATATGTATATTGTTGCCTGGCGAGTGAATCCTCTCAAAGGAGGACGAGGATTGTGTTGCTTTCACGGGACAACCGCCCTGCCTCGCCCTGCCTCACTGAAGTCGCTTCAACAGCTCACAGTGAACAGTATTCACCTTATTGACAATGACTTTCGTTTGCTGCTTCAGTCTGAGTGAAGCAATGTCTAAACGCTGACCAGTCCGCCATGGACACCGTTGGGCAGTTTTTCCGTCGACTTGACAGGTCCCCTTTTCGTGGCATGGTTTAATATCTGTAAACAAAACTATCTAGCATTCCCGGGGCGCTAGTCTGTCGCAGTCGATCACTTCCGTGAAAGGGAGCTCCTAGCTACTGTGGCCAGCCAGATCCGGCCTAGGTCGGATCTAGCCGTTACGGGTGATGGGATGGCGACTCAGGGGAAGAGATCAAGTTCATGCTATTCTGTGTCGGTCAGAAAGTCCTTCCTTCTTGTGCTTGTCGTTTTGTTTGTCCAGAGATGTCCATTGTGCCTGGTAGAGATTAATAGCGGGGCGGCACTTAAGAGCACGCTTAATCATATACCTAATATGTTACGTTCCATCGAACGCCACCGTCATTCAGCAGCACGCCGATGAAGACTTTGCCATCGCTTGTCTTTGTGGTGCGCATGCGAGCTCGTAGCACCTCGCGACGCGCGTCGTTGCGGTTCATATAGCTAACGAGCTTGTACAGCTTTCCGATGACGCCTACATATCAGACTCCAGAGAGCTGCACGTTGCTCCTCCGAAGCCTCGATAAGACTCTTCTCCATGCACAAACACCCTCTCCAAATTAGAGAGCCTTAATAACAATATTGATGACGCGGCAATGCAGCGAATAAGGTCTAATTGTGGATCGATTGAGGCGAATGAGCGCTGCAGCGACTCGAGGCATTTGCCATTCGCAGCGTTGACCATAGTTGACGGTACACCTCTTATTGATTTCCCGTTCAAGGCTGCTATCCTGGTGATGGATTAGTCCGTCCTTTTGCACACTTGTTAAACTGCTTGAAAATATCCCGGATTGCGTCTTTGGTGGATAATGGCATGCCCTGGTCGTACGTTGAGCGCGCCATGAGTCGTGGCCCTTCCCGTCTGGGTAGCAGGACACGGCGGGGGATGCTGACGGTCGCGCGGACAACATGATGATAATTCTCAAAGTCTCCATGTTACGTATTCATTACAAAACTTCATTACAAAACAATCCAATGTCGACATCCCGCAGCAGTCGGTCTGGGAAATTATTGAGGCGAGCTGACGATGGCATCGCCGACATGAACTCCGCTCAGGTTGCACTACTCATGGCTAATCCGCTCGCGAGTTTAAGACCCAGCACGCCCTGCCCATGATTGCTTTTCCTGGTATGCATTATCGATCGATTCATACATGCAATTTCTACCGAAATGAACTACTGGTATGACTTGCGCATTGATCTTATCTACTTATCCGTGTCAAAGAGGGAAGGGGGTAGGGGAAAAAAACTCTCTAGAAATGATGTTTATTATTATTTCTTTTCTTCCTCCAGGCTTCCGATTTTATAGCCAGTTATCAATTCGGATAGCAACGCAGATAGCTACCTGCCTATCAGTGAGGAGATTACAAGGAGACCACAGAATAACTAGGGCTATAAAAGAATGATAGGGGCTAAAATAATCTACCAACATGAAATATTTAGCACTTTAATATCTTAGGTTTATATACTATTATTTTCTAACCTAACCCTAAACTCCCTAATTACATAAGAAAGCCTTCCGGAGGAGGCATCTGTATGATCTTGTCTCTCGATCAAATTAACGCGGCCAACAACAAGAGCAAATTCAACTGCCAGCGCGTGGGTGTAAATTTTCATGCAAGTCCCGATCCTTTTCACTCAAGATCCACCCACACTCGAAAGTATGTCAGTCAAAACCTCGGATGATGCAGGTGCAGGGGCTCGATTTAAGGTAATCCTATAGCAACGGCGACTCCACGACAGCATAGCACTACTTGTCTCATTTTATTCACTCGTCTAAGCTTCTCTCATACCGAAGCGTTAGTCTGATATAGTGTCATCACGCATCAAACGGATCTATAGCAAAGGTTCTCTCGCTGGAGCTGGCCCATCAAACCTACTAACATGAGCCGATATCTATAGGAACGAGTGATTTTCTGAGTATAGCCTGACGTAGCCCTTGTCTTTTTGCAGTTACTAGGATAATCAGAGGCCTGCTTATGTAGAGAGCTCTTCTATAAAGAAGCGCGCTTTCCGCATCACATTCCCAGGAACCCTATCAGCGTACTGTCTTCCTATTAAGCTCAAGACTAAGTATAACTTCATTATTACACAATGAAGTCCTTTATTGCCCTTTCCCTACTCGCTGCCGCCGCCCTAGGCGCCCCTCAGCTCGTGGCCCGCGACGACGCCACTAAGCCCGTCAAGGAGGCAGACACCTCGCGCGCCGACTGCTGGAAGAGGGACCCCGGCGCGCACCATATGCTGCCCCCCACCGCCACACTCATTGAGGACTGCACCGGCACTATCGAGTACTGCCTGCGCGGCTTCTACTCTATGCACGGCGAAGAGTTCGACGACGCCGACGCCTGCCTACGCTCGCGCGACCTCGACCCAGCCACCGCCATCGACGCCATGCGCATCGTGTCCCAAGACGACTTAGACAAAGGCTACAAAGCTCTGAAAAATGCCAACCATATCTACAACCGCTATATGATAATAACGCTACTCACGCGCACTTTTGTTCCAGATGAGATGGATCAGGAGGCTAACGACTTTATTGAAAAACTCCGGTTCTCTACTCAGGAGCGTGTGCACCAGGCGCGTGACTTGATCTCACAGGGAAAGACTCACTATAAGCTTGCCTTTGGGTCAAAGCACGATGAGGAGATTGAGGCGGCCATCGAGGAGGCAAAGGGCAAGCTAAATGCCGCGTGGATCGAGATCAAGGGCAAGGACACCCAGCAGATGAGTGATATGTTTGACTGGTTCAAGGAACGCTCTGAAGAGAAGTACTTCCATGACTGGTAAAGGTGGCATAGAGATGTGAAGATCGAAGCACGATGAGGAGATTGAGGCGGCCATCGAGGAGGCAAAGGGCAAGCTGAATGCCGCGTGGGCCGAGGTTAAGGACAAGGACATTGGGCAGCTGCGTAACATGTATGACTATCGGGTGTGGCCTACGCCTGCCTAGGACAAATGGTAGCAATTACTCGTCAATCCTGCGGCCTACTCCCGCATCTCTTTTTATTATTATATAATTA